CCCTGGATTACAGCAAATGTTTGTCTGCAATATGTACTGCCCATTTTTGGACGAGAGGAAATCATTCATTCTTTCTTTTGAGGGTTCGAGAAGGCAAAATGCTCATTTCTAATATGTAACAGATTAGACCTTTGACATAGCGGAGGTATTATGTACAAATTTTAACCGGACAGAGCTCCCAAAGCCTTGTTCTCCCAAGGAATTTAGATACCATTATTTTTGCTAAGCATTCTTAAATGTAGTCAAACGATTAAAGATTTTTACTTAAATGTCAACAGACTTGGTTAAATAATAGTCCACCATACATGTTTAGGCAAGCTGTCAGCTTGTTCTTTGATTAATCTTACCAAACTTTCCCATTACTGAAATTGAAACATCTCTGTGCTCTTTGACGAATGTAATGCTGCACCTATTTCAATACAAGTATTTGTAATATATAGCAGAGGAAAGACAAACAATGCGAACAATCCCATGGATGTTCATTACTCTAACTTATTTATACGATCAATTTGGAATTGTGAAGAGCCGGGAGGAGGGGAGGTCGGGGAAGGGGAGTAGGATGAATAGGGGTAGGAAGATCTCTTGCAACATAATTAACATATTCTTACTAGCACGCTAATGTTAACGGCCTCACATATGTTGTGTATAATTTTTCTATGCTACTCGCTTGCGTGGACTTATAGTAATTGGCCCTCAAGTTGACTTCAGGTTTCACAGAGTGGAGGAACATCAAGGCCACAAAAAATGTCGAGAGGGGAACAGAAGAGTGATTAACAGATGTAAAAGAGACGGACAGACAGACACAAAGGTGGAGAAAAAAGTCAGGTGAGTACCGTGAAAGTAGTGGAATATGACATACAGTCAGGTTTATAGATGTTCGAAGTGAGAAGTCAACTGCTGGTTTATAGACTTTTTGCCGTGTGAATATACGTTGCCCAGGATGCACCACGTAGAGGTAAGTCTGTCGCGCACAAGTTGTATATTATATGGTCAAATTTAGCGAGAGGAAAATCTATTACTAATTTTGGGATATATAATAAAATAATTTCATATCGACCTCTTAACCCTTTCATTTGCAAATCCAATATATTTTAAAAGACAATTTGTATATCTAACATTATTATTGCTTAAATAAGGGGCGAATAACTTTGATGGTGATTGTTTAAAATGACCAGATCTGCCTTTCTAACTGACTCATAGGGAAAAAAACCATTAACCGACAGTTGACTTTTTACTTCATACTACAATGACCCCACTGTATGTCATATTCCACCACTTTCGCAGTACTCACCTCACCTTTTAACCTACCTTTGTGTATGTCTTTCTCTTTTGCAACTGTGAATCACTCTTCTGATCTCCCTCTCGACTTTTTCTTGACTTCGATGTTTCTCCCCTCTGTGAACCGCATCGTCAACTAAATGGCTAATGATAACTACCATAATGCCTACCATTTGATACAAATAAATAAATAAATATCTTTCTAAGTGTGTGTGTGTATATATTTTAATGGACGAATTCAGAATGGTATTAGTAGTAAAATATTAGCTAAACACAATTTCCATTTCCCACCAATACTTCATATAATAATACTCAATTCAGTAATACCAATGTCAGGTAAATTATCAGACATACAACAACATAGTCATATCGACTATGACGACCTCGAATTTTCATTCGTCAGTTTAATTTCGCTCCGAACAATTTATTTTAATAATCACAGGGGGCTACCTTAACCATTTACACGAAACTACCACTTCTGAATTGGGTACACCTAAACCAAATTCACCTTTTTCATTTTTTTGTACACTTTGATCAGATACGTGACATGATTTTCGTGTTCCCCTTTACACGGCCACGCAATCGAATTGTGCGAGAGCTGTGTAAACAGTGGGCTGGCTCAAACAATGGAGTGGACAGTTTTGTGTGACATAGACTGGTGGAAGATATATATATCGAGAGGAAATAGGCACTTGACGTGTGCGAAGTGGTGAAATGTTTACATAGACCCACTTCGCACGTGAATATGCACGCGAGTTCTATTTATTCTATAACTAGGGAATAGTAGACCGTGGGTGGCCTTATAGAAGGACATTTCAAAAACATTTCCTTTTGTACCGACGAAGCCAATTGTTTTTAAATATAAATAGCAGCCTTTAACATATTCCACACTTCTTAACACTTTTTATTAGTATTCCAAACAACCACTAAGCTCGATGAATAATGAGGGAAAAATGAATGTCCTGGTTTTGGGGATTCTCAGGTCATAGCCCCTCCCATTTGCCAATCTTCGTGACAACAGGAAGACAGAACAGTGGTGAACAAAATGTGTTGAGGGCGAGGGAGAGAGGACTAGAAGAAGGCGAGAGATCAGTGACTACACCTGAGCATGGTTGCAAAACACCCATCGGCTAGTTCATTGATAAGGAGTGACATAAAGAGATTAAATATTTACGGACACTGCTGACCAAGGGAACTGTACCCTGACAACACTCACTCAAGGATAACTTACTATATTTGGGAAATATAGTATTTCTGCCAGAAATCCTGAGATCGTAACAGGGGCTAAGCTCCACCCCCCCCCCTCCTTATTGAATCATAGGGTGTCAATTCTCCAAATCATAATAGAAAAATTTTAGATGCTCATTAGCATTACTTTCGTTGGGAATGTTCACAGCCCACGCGATAACTAACGCCTTTTCCACCCTCTAAACCCCTTCCACTTGGTACATTAGTCATCCTTGACTGGAATAGCAAAGTCTGAGACCTTTATTATGGCAAATCTGTAGCAAAGAAATGCAAGGTTAAAATTTTAGCGAATGCCCTTGTATGTGAGCCTTGAGTGACGATATACTGGTTTCAACTTTCAATCTCTACCCCCCCCCCCACTCCTTACCTTAAAATANCCCCCCCCTCCCCCCCTCCCCCCCCCCAATCTTTCATTTCAATAAATGTTTGAGATGTATTTAAATTTGGGGTGTAGTATTAGCAAATAGAGAGTATAAAGCAGTAAGGGAAATTCCAGCTAATAAACGCGTTGAACATTGCTTCTAATCCTTTACGCGTTTTTTGTTAACAATTTATGAGACAATTTTCAAACTTCGTAATTTTTTATTAATTAAGGCTAATGTATCCTGTACTTTTTCATCTACTTAATTTTATCGATTTTTATCCGAAGCAACATAAAAAACAAACGTTGATCATGTATTTGCATGAAAATGGGCCTTATTTTAATTTTATTTAAAATAAAATAACTGCTCGGTGGAAATGAAAAATACTATTGGGACAGTAAACTCATTTCTACTTGCTATGAAGCAGATTGAAACTACCTTCACTTAATTTAAGTGTTAAGTAAAATATTTGAGCGGCAACAAGGCGAAAAATACTTCTAATCCCATGCAAGTTAACGGCGAGAAAGCTGATTGGTTCATAGGCGTGAGGAAATTAACGCCCCTTCCCCACTTTCTTGCGTGTTCTCATTGGTCCAAAATTTCGCAGTGTTTGAATTTTCCGTTCACTTACTCGGCAAATCAGCCAAATAAATGGTCTTTAACAAGCATGTAACAATACTTGTTAATTATTAAATTTACATTTATTAAAACATAATATTCCATTCAAGTTACTCAATATGTTAAATGGGACAGAATTGATGACTTTCAACATCATAGTCTTTTAATTCAATATGAATTTTTCGTGTTAAATAAATCTCAAAAGGCCTCTTACTTTCTGCAGCCTTAATCGCCAATCCATGATCCGATCACTTTATTTTCCAGACAGGGGGTCAGCAACAGTCTGTACTTGATGCAAATCTTCCAAGAAGACAGGCTAGTTACTGTCTAGATTTCACACAAATTTCTCCATTTTCAAAGTTACAATTTCACAAAATTATCCTAAACTGTACGGAAGTTACCAAAACAAGCTACAAATTTAGGTGAATTTTAGGCTAATAAGGAGCAAATTAAGTAGTTATTTGATGAACTTGGTACAATAGAATCAAAATTGATTGTCTTGCAAGCAGCCTATCACATATTTAAATAAGGGAAAACAGTTAAATTCAGTCAAAAAAATTATTTCTGAAATATGCTATGCATATTTGGAAAGATATGTATCAGATGCACTTGAAACCAAATGTTAGATATATGTTGCAACTTGCGTGATCACTAGAAGAGTGATCAAATGGTTTTCGAACAATTAATCTTATATAGAAGTATGGCTTAGCATTCAGGCCTCGTTACTTAGTTATTATGGCTGTATGGACAAGATCCTGGATAATAAAACGAATTACAAAATAATGACGCACTAATCCAAAACGGATGCAGCCAAATACTTTTTCGATGTTATGCTCGCGAAGCACACCCCTTTGAGCATGAAAAACGTGTATTTGAGGTAGTCAACTCGGCCCAACCACCTAATCCAATTTCTTTGTTCAAAAACTCCACCAGCCATGCTCTAATGTGTCATTTTAAATCCCCCCCCCCCAACCTTTTCTTTTCTCCTCTATGAGACCCAGTCCAACAAACGAGAACGAACTTGCATGTGAGCTCAGCTCTCTTCCCCTCTTCCCCCCCCCTCCCCACCCCCACCTCAATTGGGAGCATGCGCTGAACATCCATCATATGGTCTGCCCCCTCCCCCAAAACTAATCTACATGCTCCTTTCATTGGTCAATTTATAGTGGTGAAAAACCTAGTGGTTAAAATATTTTCGATAAAAAGTGGAATTGGGTCTTGATATTTGTACTTCATGACCTGTTTCGCTCATTCACCCCCCCCCCCCCCTAAGACTCCCTTTTAATCAGCATGTCACGCTAATTTCGACAAGTCGCGATTTAAGTGTGCCACGCTTTCTTCTATTGGTTCACTTACAGACCAGTCAAATTAGACATTTGGTTAAATTGACCGCCTGGACACTGATTGGTCGACCAGGTTTTTAAAGCATGCTAGGCTTGCCATAATTTCACAAGAATCTGTATCTTTATCATATGAGAGGTACTTGCTAGACTTATGCTGCCAATTGTACTACCTAATGCGGTTTTTAACCACTTCCTGCTTGAATTGCAATGCCTTCAACTTAAAGCTGCTGTTCGTGAAGGCACTTTAATCATTGAAGCTCCTGGGGACCACACGACATTTGCTTTGTCATTCCGTGATGACGAAAATTCTGAACAAAAGTCTCAAACAAATCGAACGCCTTTACAAGGCAAAGCCAATCACCCCTTTAAGTGCATTGAACAACCATCAATAAGTTGTTTAAACGATTTACACAATGTAAATCAGACCTTTAGTTCGGAATCTATATATTCAACTTCCATGTCAGATTGTGCTCTTGATCTCACTAAAAGTACCTCAGTTTCTTCCTCTACCCAAAAGGCACCTGAGAAGGGAGGTACTGAAGAGGTAAATGGGATGATGAAGATCTTCCAACTAAACCTCTTCCCATCTACGAGCCTGCCACTATTTCAGCCGATAGCAACCAATTCAACCATGTCGTCCGGCATACGATTTGGACCTTATTCTGTTGCATCATCTCCGGTGAAACAAAGACGAGTTGGAGAAACGTTAGTTCCAAAACCATACGGATATCGACAGTATAGATGTAATCAGTGTGATTACATATTTGACTCAATTCGGAATCTCGAACTCCATACTCTAGAGACGCATGGTGGATACAAATGCCATTTGTGCAAAAAGCCGTTTACTCAGCGCTCTAATCTACAACGACATGCTCTTAAACACGTTGACTTCAAGCCGTTCGAGTGTATTTTATGTGGAAAGGCCTATTATCGAAAGGATCACTTAATGAGGCATATGCAGAAAATGCATCCTCTCCATCCCGCCGAAGAGAATATTCAAGTGAAATTGAGGACTTCGGAAAGTCTCGACTATCTGAGACAGACGAGAGGAGAGGACTTTCTAACAACCCCTGACTTACGAAACGAAGGCTCTAGAAGTGAAAATTGCTTGACCTCTGAAGACAAAGGAGTAGAAGTCGGGGAGACAGATATAAGGGTTGATGACACCAACAGCACCAAGTCTTCGGTTAAGTCTTCCACTGATTTCCTATCCAAAGAAGGGGTTCCGCCAACTGAAAATGAGTTTCCTCTTCTCAGTTCGCCTCATTAGAATCATCGTTTAATTTGTTTTTGTAAATAATTATTTTGCGATAAGGCACGTTTTACTAAAAGTTGAGTTTCACAATTTCAATCTTTTATTCAGTGAATATGGGCCTGTAGATGTTGAACAAGCGTTCTGATATTGAAATTTATTTCATCATACTAATGTGCAACGAAGCTTGGTGTTCTGGGGGTAGGAAGGGAAAAGATAAAACTTCTTCGTTTTAATGTTTATCGTAGTAGACACCGGTTTTGATTCATAAATCTGGTTTCGTTGTACTTTTACATAACTTGAGGAAAATTCTTTTGATACTAGCATTATATCCTGGTTGGGGAGATTTGAAATATAATTCGATAAGTTTTTATGGCTTCTCATGCTGATTCGTACATCTTAAGTTCATTTGAAGCCAATTAGAATACACTGAATCAAATGCATAATAACGTTTATGATGTTAGTGAATTGGGGCGCGATAAACTTACTTCCATGTAATGCCCACTGGGCAACGTATTCTCCTAAGGCAAAAAGTCTATCAACCGGCATTTCACTTCTGACGTCAAACTACCATGACCCCACTGTACGTCATATTCGACTACAGTACTCACCTTGCCTTTTCTTTATCTTCGAGTCTGCCACTTCCACGTCTGTGAATCAGTCTTCTGTTCCTCCTCTCGACGTTTTTGTGACTTCGATACTTCTCCCTCTTCGAAGTCTATAGTCAACTATAGGGCTAATGATAACTATCATAAAGCCTACCATTTATGAAAATAAATAAATAGTGGTAAACTGCAAATGACACCCCGGAAAGGGATATTGCGGCAACTTTTCAGATTTCTGATCGGTTGAAAAATGCCTTAGGAGATTCGAATACGCAGCTAGAGTAGCCCAGTTGGTGTAATGCAGAATAAAATCAAAAGCATGTTCTTTCTTGTATCAGGAAAGAGATGTGGGGTGGGGGGGGGGGGGGGGGGGGGGGGGGAGGAAGGGGTGCTGTATAGAGAAACGCTTCATTGGGACCTTGGAGGATATAGCTACTGGACAAAGATGAGTTATGCTCGTGGTTTATGGCTTTCTACTCACACTTTGGAAGCTAAATGTACGTGCTCATCCCATATTAGTTTTTCACCTGCCTTTAGGTCTAAGCAGGTGAAAATTAAAGTGCAAATAGTAAATATGTTTATTTTCCCTAAGGACATTGGCCATACGCAAATCAGTTCTTCCTTTTATAGACTAACAAAGAAATACCAACACCTGAAAGGCAATGAAAAATGTCCGAGTGGAAATAGTTGCCCTATTAACCGACCAATGTACCGTTTACACAACCGTGAAATCCGATTGTACGCGTGTGGAAAGGGGAGCTTGATAGTTGCGTGACTTATCAGAACAAAGTACCAGCTCATATCTTTTTGAAATACCAGTAATTGGCTCACCTCTTTGAACGGTGAGTCAGAGTATTCGAGTGAAATTGATGAAGCTAATCACTCCAGAAGAAATGAAGTGGGAAATTAGTGCTCCGCGTTTTTTTCATTTGCCTTATATGCAATTGCAAAACCGGATTTACCCATTTAAAGTCACCATTATAGGAGATCAGTACGAATGAGTTAAAATTGTTCTTATTTAGTGAGAAGGTCTACACGCCTCACCACAGAGTACCTGAAATTACACCGAAGTGAAGTTAGGGGGAGCAATTCAGAGAACATTAACTAAATCCCAAATAAAAGGCAAATAACGAGACACAAATTAAATAAAATTTTACAGGGGATACAAGTCCCAGTTGTATTTATAACGAATACTTTTACCAGGAGGGGAAAATTTTGACATTTGTGAATGAAAGCTGTTGCTCTTCTGATGATTTTTATAAAGATACTAATTTTATTGCCTAAATTTGTGTGATGGGGAAAGGGGGGGGGTAAAAGTTATTGTGATAACGTAAAAAAATAATTTTGACTCCCTAATTGGAGCCGAGACGATGTGACTAAATATGAGTGGGAGCGCTCTGTTACTAATTAGTACAAATCACACTTCATAATTGCTCAAAACTCCTATTGTTGCCTTAATATGGACCCTTGCACGTAAATAAAATAAAATTAAGGACTCCTAATTTAAGAAAAAATAAACAACTCCAACACCTGTTATGCCACTATGTCATAGTTCATTATTTTTCTCTGTTTGATGACAGCTGGCGGTATATTTTAACCACCTTAATAAAATTATAAATAGTAATTATGACGTTATTAGTATTGGAGTGCGCGATAGACTTACCTCCAAGTGGTGCACCCTGGACAACGTATACTCATACGGCAAAAATGTCTATCAATCGGTAGTTGACTTCTCACTTCAAACTACCATGACCCCACTGTATGCCATATTCAAATACTTCTATAGAACTCACCTCACCTTTTTCTCTGCCTTGGTGTCTGTCTGCCTCTTTTACATCTCTGAATCACTCTTCCGTCCCCCTTTTGAGTTTTTTGTCACTTTGATGTTCCTTCCTCTCTGAGAAGACAGAATTCAACTATAGGGCTAATGATAGCTATCGAAATGCCTGCCATTTGATATATTAATATTATTAGTATTAATGACGACTGACTTAAAACAGGTGGCCTTCATGATATTGTGTCCAAATTAAGGGTAGGATTGCACAATGCTCATGGTGTGCAAGCTTGAGTTGTGGCCAATTTTTTTCGAAGATTGAGTTATACAAGATCCGATTAACAGATAATTCACCATTAACTAGATCACCGAACAGTCAAGGAATTATTGTGACGGCTGGAATTGTGAGAGGATGGATTTGTCTGTGTCTGGAAATAATTAGGTGAAATCGACGTTTTATGTATGCGATTTTAAGGATCAAAATGAATATTAGAAATAGGATAGTTAGTTGTTATGAAGCTCTTTCAATTGAAAAACTTTTAAATACTTCATATACCATAAGTGAGTACATTTATTAACTATTGGGTACCCATTTATTCAAGAAACAATAATTATACCACTTTTTGCAACATTTTGATATTTCGGAGATCCTTAATGTGAGCCGCAGTGCATCCACATCGACTTAAGTAACGCAGGGGATTCCCAAATCCCTTTTTTCTATGATCCAATCGGATTTGAGAAATGACACAAAGAAAGGGGGGTTTATAAATACCTTCATTAGCATAATAGTATTCATGCATCATCTGAACGTTGCCGCAATCATTGTGTAAATTTCCTCTAAATAGGTTCCTTTAGGGGTCTTGAAATGAATTGGACATTAATGCATGCAATTTGCGAATTTCCCAAGCGTACAAGCATTGTGAAAAGGATTAACTAGGTTCGTGTTCGATTTAATGACTATACCCCATTGGGGGTGGAAGGGGTTTAGCTAAGGAGATTCAAGTGTAACCTAATGTCATTCCCTAATGCACGACACTGTAGCAAATTTGCATGAAGCGGTCAGCAGGTCTATAACTAGTGAATCTAATCTTTTTATTAAGATTTGAACTTAAAATTCAGAACACGAGCGTTGCATTATGAACGACGTCGTCAAATGAGCTAAAAGGTTTAGTGAATGTTAAGAATAGGACGAGCAAATCACGTTAACGGATAACTTAGATGTGAACAAAATTCTGTACAGTGGTTTTTGTTTTTCATTTTTGTCATTAAGGTGCCGACTTAGAGAACAACTTCAAACAGCCATTAGCCATTACCATGTTTTGCCCTAAATTTACTTTCAACGCTTTCTTTACTTAAAACATGGAGCACTAAGTTCTCCTATTTGAGTGAGTCACTTTAGCTAAATGCACTTTCTATCCAACCTTGATACTTTGATCAGATAAGTGACGCAGTTGTCATGTTGCCCTTATGCGGTCATGAAATCCAAATGTGAGGTGACTATGTAAATAGTGGGCCGACCAAATAGTGGGTTAGATCGTTCCACTGCGACGTATGGGGAGAACAGGGTAGGAGGAGTAAAACACTTGTAAAGTGTGTAAAGTGCTGAAATGTTTATACAGGCCCCTTTAGCATGCGATTACTCACATGCAGTTTGTGTTTATTAAAAGTAGGATACGGGTAGGCTGCGCGTGATCTTATTAAAGGACACTGCAGAAAAACACTTGCACTAACTCGGTGTATTTAGCTTTCAGAAATTTTTCATCATTCAAGATAAGTAATCCTTCCATTCAAACACCTGCAAATGTTGAAATGGAGATAGTTTACCACACCATTTACAAAAAATCCCTAAAAGCACAGGCTTAAAACGTGATCTACAACACCTGCTCAACATTCCCTTGTCCAATAGCTGTATTCCCTTGTGCTCATACAGAATGACTTGAGAAAATTTCCTTTGTATTTGTCCCTCCCCCCCCCCTTTCCCTCTCCCTCCCCCCTTCCCCCTCCCACCCCTCGTTCGCTGAATTACGAGAGTCCAGTTCCAGGAACAGCATGTTTAGGACAGACGTTCATATTCCTTTTATTATCATGTGCACTCCCCTCCTAAAGTATGCCCCCACCTTCCTATGTCATATTAATCATTATCGCCTGTAGTAGAAACCCTCGAGTGAGGGGGGGGGGATCAAATTTTGGTAGGAAAAAGCAGTTGTATTTACGTCTACAGTGAGGATGTTCAAGTCTCAGCCTGCTTAACTCCTTCAACTTATACTAGAGGTAACGTGACAATTATCCAAGACAGAGTCGCATTTGGCTCGAAGCAGATCGTTATCTCTGACGTTCAATGCAAGCAAAGGACATCTAAAAATGTTCATTTTTCCCTCAATGCCCATGGAATATGTCAGATAAAATGAAGGAGGTGCGTACTGTTGGGATGGATATGAAAACCCTAACTGAATCTACTCACTAATCCTAATGCAAATGATATTTGCATGGAACTACGTAGTATTGAATGAATTCGTATTAATGAAATGTGTCCACAATTATAAAGAGTCTGCCTAAAAGTCGCATTTATGATCGGTAGAAGTATACACAAATTTGATCGAAAGATCGATTTAACAAGTTAATGCAGAGGAAACAATGTG